TAGCACTGCACATAAATGATATCATTTCTGTACAGTGTTAATTATTTGCCATATTTATCCCTCAAATATTTTTATATGAAGTAGATAGTTGGTAAATTAGCTTGCAGTGTGTTTTGGGGTCCCTCTGGATACAACGGTACTGTTTAAAAATACTCATTATCATTAGCTTTTTCCATTTAAAAAACAACACAGAAGAAAACAAAAACTTCTGCCTCTAAATAGGGGTCATAGCGCTGGAAGGGAACTCAGTCATCAAGGCTGGTCCTATGCTATTACAGGACAAATTCATCATATATTCCTATCCACAAGCTCAAAGATCTTTCTTAAAAGCAGTCAAGGTTATCTCAATTACTTCAGCTGGAAGGCTTTTTCCAATACCCCACTGTTCCAAAACCTCCTAATTTCCACTCAAAATGTATTTATGACCAGTTTATATAAATTTAACCAACTATTTGTTTTGTTTCTTTCTTCATGAATGAGAATAAATAACGCAGAAGAAGGGAATAGGTTTTTATTTAAAAATGGCCCACTTCCATTTCATGGAGAGAAATAAAAATATTTTTGCTTGGTATGAACTCATACCATTTTCAGTACACATGAAAAATGATTTGCTCATGCTGATTCTGACCCAGCCAAACACTTGTCATATGCTGTGGTTGTGCCTTGCCTTACCAGACACTTTCAAATAATGCAAGTAATATGATACTTTTGTTTGGTGGACAAAATACTTACTAGGAAACAGTACATGACCCATTTAATAGGCTTATCTCGTAACAAGTACAAAAGATTCAGTTAATACAATCATAAAAATTAAGGGCTGGAAGGGACCTCAAAAGATCATCGAGGCAACCCCCCCTGCTCTGGGCAGGAACACTGCTGAGATCAAATGATCCCAGCAAGGTGTCTGTCCAGTCTCCTCTTGAAGACTTCCAAGGTTGGAGACTGCACCACTTCCCTCCAGATTCTACTCCAGATTCTGGTCACCCTTACTGTAAACAAGTTCATCCTTACATCCAACCTGAAACTATTCTCTAACAGTTTATGGCTATTGCTCTTTGTCCTTCCCTGGTGAACAATTTTTCCCCCCGCTCCTGATATTCACCCCTTACATACTTACGGATGGCCACCAAGTCTCCCCTCAGTCTTCTCTTCTCCAGGCTGAACAGTCCCACATCCCTTAGTCTTTCCTCATGAGGTTTGTCCTCTGGGCCCTTAATCATTCTTGTGGCCCTTCTCTGGACCCTTTCAATATTCTCCGCATCTTTTTTGAAGTGTGGCACCTAGAACTGGACACAGTACTCCAGCTGGGGTCTCACCAGTGCTGAGTAGAGAGAAAGTATCACTTCCTTAGCCCTGTTTGCAATGCATCAGCTAATGCAACCCAGTATGCTATCAGCTCTGTTGACTACAGAGTCGCACTGGCAGCCCATGTTCATAAACCTTAGCTCCCTTTCAGCCATCATGCTGGTCAGGACATCTCCTAACCAATATTCATATCACTGGTTACTTCTCTTCAGATGAAGCACTCTACATTTATCCTTATTGAACTGCATCTGGTTCCGCTCCACCAACCCTTCCAGCTTGTCCAGGTCTGCTTGGATCTGCATCCCATCCCTTAGCATGACCGCTTCTCCCCATAACAGTATTGTCCACAAACTTGGATAGAGTGCTTTCCACATCTTCATTTAAAGATAAAGATGTTGAACAGCATGGGGCCAAGAACAGAACCCTGTGGGACACCACTGGCCACCTCCCACCAAGACAATACTGACCCATCCACTAACACTCTCTGGGTTCAACCCCTTGGCCAGTTCCCAACCCACATGACCATGGACTCTGCCAGCACACAATCCCCCAGCTTTTTTTATTTTATTTTTATTTTATTTTTTTATTATAAGGGCATCATAGCAAACCATATAAAAGGCCTTTTTAAAATTCAAGTATATGACATCAACCACATCTCCCACATCTAAATGGTTTGTTACTCGATCACAGATGGCGATGAGGTTGGTCAGACATGATCTGCCCGCAACAAAACCATATTGACTATCCTCCAGCACCATGCCTTCTGCCAGTTTCTCATGGACTTCTTGCTAATTTTTTCCCTAAAATTTTACCAGGTATCAAGGTCAAACTGACCAGCCTATAGCTTCCCAGATTCTCTCTCCTCCCCTTCTTAAAGATTGGTGCCCCACTGGCCCTTTTCCAGTCTTCTGGGACCCCTCCCGAGCACCATGATTCTTCAAATACCTTTACCAATGTTCGCGCAATGGCTTCAGCCAATTCCCCCAGCACTCTCGGGTACAGTCCATCCAGTCCTGCTGACCTGAAGACATTCAGCTGCTCTAAGTGCTCCCTCACTAGTTCAACCCTGACCATGAGTTGGCAATTGCACCCCTACCCCTGCATCCATCCAGTGTCCGACCAGGTGGGTGACCACCATTTGTATGTAGGAACACTGATGAAAAGTATCCATTAAAGAGTTCAGTTTTCTCCTGACTGTCTGTTATCAGCTGTCCCATCCCATTCTACAAAGATGCCACATTTCCCTTGGTCTTCCTCCTGCCCTTATATACCTAAAGAAGGACTTCCCATTGTACTTGATTTCGGTCGCCAACCTGATTTTGGTCACCACTCTTGCCTTCCTTATTCTCTCCCTACAAATATGGGTTATAGTTGTGTATACCTCCTTGGTGACTGCTCCTTGCTTCCACTGTCTATAAGCCTCCTTTTTCTTTTTTAAGCACTCCTTGACTCCTCTGGCAAGCCAAGAGGGCTTCCTGGCCCCTTTACGACCTTTCCTATATACAAGAATGGACCTTTTCTGTGCTCTGAAGATTGCTCCTTTGAGGAATGACCACCCTTTCTGAACTGCCTTCCCCTCCAGTCCTTCTTCCCATAGGGTCTCTCTCACTATTTTCCTAAGCTCAATGAAGTCAGTCTTCCTGAATTCAAGCACTTCTACCCTACTGGCTGATTTCCCTGCCATATAAGGGAGAGTGAATTCTATTGTCTCATGATCACCATCTCCCAGACTACCCTTAATCTTCAGAGCTCCCACTAGGTCCTCCCCTTTGGCTAGAACCAAATCCAACAAAGCCTTCCCTCTGGTCAGCCCATTCACCTTCTGTACTAAATAAAGTTTTTCCACACAGGTCATAAACCTGTGTGACTAGTCAGATCTGTCCGAGTGCTCCTCTAGCAGATGTCAGGGTAACTGAGGTCATCCATGACAACCAAGTCCCTTAAACATACAGCCTCCATCAGTTCTCTGGAAAATTCCAGATCCAGCTCCTCCTCCTGGTGTGGCAGTCTACCATCAAGTCCCCTTCTCTTTATCCCCCCCATATCTTGACCCACAGGGTCTCAAGTCACCCATCTCTTGAACCAATATGGGTCTCCAAGGAGGCATACCGCTCCTTTAAATAGAGAGCTACACCTCCTTCCTTCTTCCCTAGCCAATCCCTTCTGTGAAGCCTGTAGCCCTCTAAGCATAAAGACCAGTCATGCATGGCATCCAACCAGGTCTCTGTTATTCCATCGAAATCATATTCTCTATTTACTAGCAGGAGTGCCAGTTCCTCCTGCGTATTCCTCATACTCCTAGCATTTGTATATAGACACTTAAGTCCCCCATTGATAACCCTCAGTTTCCCACCACCCCAACATCATTCCAGCCTCTCAACACCTCCCTGAATACCCTCTCTGTGTCCTTCCTCTTTGGCTGTCCCCCAGCTTGCGTCCCCCAGCTTGGCTATCCCCCAGCTTGCATCTAAAGTTAAAAATGAATCTGTCTTCCTCTGATGACAAGCACCAGACTGGGCTTCAGGAAATATGAGTTTTGCTCCTAACATTTACAGTCCTGATGTATGACCTTAGGTAAGTCACCTCTGCTTTAGTTTAACAGCTGCAGTGCAATATCTTTAGGAGTAGCATTCCTATATGCATGCATGCGCTTAGACCAAATGAAACTTGAGGTCCCCTCCACCCTGATCGTTCTGACTTATGGAAATGTTTCAAGACTTGATTCAGGCTAAATGTTTGTAATCTCCTTTGAGATCACTGGGTAAAAAGTAGTTACAGAAGTATGAAACATGATGTCTTTATTATTGTCCCCATTTGATGCCTTCTGCACCACTAGATTGGATAATGATAGTAGCTGAAAGGAAAGCTTATATCAAAATACTTTGTATCCTCACCACAAAAGTAATTGCAACAAAAAGCAATAAGGATCTCATTCAAATCAATACGGTCTGTAGCAATGCCAATTTCCATTTCAAAGATCAATTCCCACAGCCTGTAAACCCTGAAGTATAATATGGAAACATAAGATACTGAAACAATCAAAAACAATCAAAAACTGGCACATTTAGCATTTTCAGAAATTGGTTTATGTTTAAAATTATTAACAATTGTTAGCTATTTGATAAAATACCTTATTTGCCATTTGACACTAAATCAGTCTATTTTCAATGCAAATATTAATTTTAAAATCAGATGACTCTCTTATATACAAAAGGATATATTTCTCTAGATTATTTGAAGAAAAAACCTAAGGCTTAATTCTGTTCAATTGACATCAGTGGGCACATTGACATGAGAGGCTGTAAATGTGCAGTAGCCTATTCTACTGTGCATCAAGTGTCACAAAAAAAAAAAATTGCCTTAGCTACTATGCACTAGTGTGGGCTAATGCACCTTTATGTAGTAACTCATATTAGAAGTACTAAAATTAACACGCAGTAGCAAAGGTGCATTAATGAAAGTGTAGAGGTGCCCAGTGAGAGTTTTATCATTGATTCAGCATTCCCAGGATCAGACCCTTCTACCTTGTCATCATAACATCTTTTGAAGATTTGACATATTAGAAATATCCCCCACTCAAAAAGCAGTAGGCTCCTTGGAGCCTAAGTCTACTCAGATGATGCAATTTACCTTGTGAAAATTCCTGAAATAGGCTGCCTTTTCATCTGGAAATTTTTCTAGCCGTCTGGGTCCTTTACTGGAAGCCTTCTTGAAAACCAACCAGCAGCGCCTGAAAATCTGTAAGAAAAATGAAGGGATGCCATGAATTTAATCATTTTGTAATAAATACCAGTAAAAAATGTCCCTTTATTTAAAGAGATATTTTAACTTATATATGAAGCCACAATCACAACTTAAACACTAATATGCTAGTTTGATTTCAGTCAAAGTGAACTCATTAAAAAAAAATCACTCTCATTTAACAAACATCTCAGAAACAATAGTAATGTTATTCCCACTCCAAAACCCCACCATTTAATTGCACTGGAGTAGTGTAACCCCTTTAATCCCATCTATGCTGTAGGTAGAAAACATTTGTGTATGGTTAATAAAATGAGAGAATGCTCATCTCTTTTCATGTCCTGATCAAAAATCAGAATTTCTATTCTAAGAGAAATTCTGAAAACCTCAAAAGGTTCTTCCAGAGTGAAACATAGAACTTTAAAAAATTTACTATGGAAAGGAAAATCTGGAAAAAAAATCATTTTGAAATAATAAAACTTGGGAGCTCACACAGATCTGGGAACACAGAAGCCCTGTAAACCACAGATGAACCAAGAGCCTTGAGATTCTGCAACCCTGAAACCCTAGTTCAAACTAGCACTTCTAGATTCCTTGCAACTGTTTTGACTGCAAGTGCCCTGACTCAAACTGGGTTTCCATTTTGAGCCAGGATTTTCAGGGATTTCAGACACCCTGGACACACCTACAGGAGATGCTTTATTGCACAGTAATTACTGTGCAGTAAGCATATGCATCTACACGTGCAGACACTTATTATTGTGCAGTAATTGGCTCTAATCAAGGGTAAATTTGCCACCTGCAAAAGCAAGCAGCAAATTTACTCATGATTAGTAACTGTGGAGTAGTGCACGTGTAGACTCCTGACTGGGCACAAATGTGCTCCTGGTTATCTGGGTAGCAGGGGGCAGGAGTTTTCTCTGTGCCTCAAGTAGCTGCCTGCTGCCAGGATGGGCTCTGCCACAAGAGCCCAGGCGGGGACATATGTCCCCCTGTCCTGGCAGCAGGGAGCTCCCAGCCCCTGCTCTGAGAATGCGGGACTAGGGCTGAGTGATCCTTATCTCAAACTGAGTTGCACAGTCATGGGACCTGGGCTGGGAGATCCCGATCTCCCAGTACCAGCCCCATGACCATTTCCCAGCTCAGGGAACCATGTAACCATGGAGCTCAGGCTGGGAAATAAGAATCTCCCAGCCCCAGTCCCATGATAGAAGCGGGGTCTGGGAGCTCCCTGCTACCAGGGCAGGGGGACATTGTCTCTGTCCAGGCTACGGTGGTTACAGCCTACTCCAACAGCAGGCAGTTCCCAGAGGCAGCTCCAATGTCCCAGCCCCCACTAGGAGACAGCTGTCTCCTAGGCCCTGGGCCCAGGGGGAGCCTAGAACTCCCCCTGACTGCTGCAGGGGCTCATTAAAGGGCTGCTGGGAGTAGCAAATCTGCTCCCATGTCGCAGCACGTTTAGACACATGCTCAGGAGAGTTTACTGAAGAGTAAACTGCTTCTGTATTATTTGCACATGTAGATGTACCCCCTGTTGCACAGAGAACTGACTAGGCCTACCACAGCTCAGACTTTCAGTCTCTCTGAAAAGTGGAGCTTCCCTGTTATAGAGTCTGAAAAGTTCAGGTCCCCCTACAACCTATCAACTTAACTGGCAAGAAACTATGCACATTTCCAACAGAACCATGATTCTATTTTGTCCAGTTTATCAACACTAACTTTTCTGCAATCTAGCTTGACAGATAGAAGGTTTTATTTAGAAAATGCACATATTTTACTAGAATGTTCCTGAGTAGGTCTACATTTAAAACTAACCCTTGGTTATCTAAGTATCTTCATGAACTGGTAAAAGTGAAAAAAGTTCTTAGTTTGTTGAACACCTAGACATACAAAACAATGAAGGAACAAGCCCTGTTTTCAAATGATAATAAATATTTTACATCTGGAATTTTGCGATATTTAAGCTCTGTTACATAAACCCACAGTGGTTTTGTGAAGGTATACACAGTAAAATGTTGAAGTCAATTTGTAGGCTAATTTGTTTTCAAATGGATCTAGGGTAAAATCAGTTTTCTTAAAGACAATAGAAAATACTTTAAAGTATCAAATTTACATTCTAATTCAATTATTTGCACTGCAAAAGTACAGAAAACTCCAACCAGGATCAAGGTCCCATTATGCTCTACAGTGAGTATACATAAAGAAAGAAGTCAGTCCCCTTCTCCAAAAATTGACAACCTTAAAGAGAAGATGTAAAAAGTGATACAAAAAGAGTAAGAGAAAGGAACAGAATAAAAAAGAATATAAACCTGACTTTCCCGGTAGGAAAACAGAAAAAAAGAAATGTATACCTGTTTTCCTAAATTATATACACCCATTGAGATTGTCTGGACTGAACTGGCATCCTACTAGCCACGTACAGCATGACAAGTTTTACAGTTCTTGACACTCAGGTAAAGCTACAGTTAAAAAGAAAATATGTGAAATATCCCAAAAGACTTAATTGGACTACTTGGTATAAGTAAGGGTGGCAGAATCAGCTCTGAAAGAGCAAATCCAGCCACTCAATACCCATCCCATGAATCCTATTTAAATCAATCAGAGTTAAGAGCATAGATTGCAGGGTAGATTTTTTTCCCCCCTTAATATGTGTTCAGTTTACTATTTAAGCAATTCTAAGAGCTGCTCAAAATGACATCAGCATAGAAATCAAGTTTAAATTAATGTACTAAAGTAAAATAATAATAGTAATGGTCTACGGTCAATATATCAAATGACTGCAGGCTAGCAATAAATCAAGTGCCCTCTTAAAACCACCAATAGGGCTTCCATGACAATTTGTGTTTCATTATGAAAAAATTAAATGAAAAGAAGAGACTATTTGCTGCTTACAGAAATGCTCTGCAAGTAAACTTTTTTTTACTACAAGGTAAGAAATGGTACCTATTTTTCTCTCAAGCTTTGGAAAGTAAAACTGTACCTCCAAACACAATGGTTCTGAAACTTTTTGGACCTAAGGCACCCTTCATTGGATATGAGGTACCCCTCCATTACTTTTTGTGAACTGAACAGCCCCATTTACAAAGACTAAATTATATTTTCAGTGCTTACTTCCTTGCAGAATAGCTAGGCAGTGGGGTGGGGGATCAGCCAGACAAAAAGAAGCCTGAGTTTGCACTTACAGCTTATCTCCTCAGACCTCCTGGCACCCGTTGAAGGATCTTGACAGCACCCCAGGATTCTTCAACACTATGGTTGAAGAATCACTGACCTAACACATGAATATTATCTGACCTATGATGAAAGTGCAGGTAATATCATATCCTTTGATCTCCTGTAGTTTAATGCCATTTCTTCATGTGCCATCTTAGACAGTACGTACTGAAATGATGTTTCAGCACTGGAACTACTACTTCACCGAGACTGTAAAATCATCCTTAAATTCTATCTCCTAACAATGTTACATCAAAGTAAATCTTCAATACATGAATAAATTAATGCATGCAGATAAGGTATTTTTCCCCTTTCACATCACCAAGTGCAAAAGTGCCAGGGTTTTGCATGTTATTTTGAACCATGTTTACTTGTTAAAACAAGTGTCTAATTAAAACTTGCTTGTTATATCTTGCTTCTTCTGTAGTGAGTGCCTCATCAGTATTCTTGGATCTTCTTTTCAGTTTCAGTCCATCAAGTGTGGGGAGGGGAGCAGGATTATACCTTGCATATAATAGTTATACAGAATAGATTCAAAAGAATATGATAAACACTGCACCACAGGAATATTCGAAATGATTACTTTGCTGTCCAGATTTAATTAAGGAATTAACATTTCCCTCCTTGTGACAGTCTAAGATGTCTGCCTCTGTGGTGAAAGAGCAGAGTGCCTCCTGCCTACAACTTGTCATCTTTTCTTGCATCTCAGACAGAATTATTTCTTAAGTTTTGGAGGATGCTGAGGAAGCTTTTGCCTATAGGTTGTGAACTGAAATATTGACGATCAGGAAGGAGGCTTGAGGCCAGCTTTTAATGAAAGCTGTCAATCCCTTCATTCAGTGGTACTGAATACCATTTACCCTTAAAGCAATTCTCATAAGGCCCCCACAGGCTTTGCATTCATCTGGAAGCATTCTGTTGTGCAAATTCCAATGGATTGATAGAAGACTGTATGTAGAAAGCACTTTATGTTGGTGCTCTCTGAGTTCAATCCCCTTAGCTTCCCATTTGTTCTAGGGGAGGGAAGGGGAGGAGAGGTGTTTAGGGAATTAATTTTGACCTAAATTGTTTGGAACCTGGACACTGAAACTATTCCCTCCTTCCTTCTATGCCATCTCTGCTGTTGCAATCAGCAGAAACTGACAGTGCCCATGTTTAAAAAAAAAGATAGTAGGTGGTAGCATATTTCAGAGAAAAGACCTACACTGTAAAGATGCTTTTCCCTTGGTCTGTCATTATTTTACATCCATTGACATTTATTTTTTCAGGCAATTAGGGAAAGGAGAGATTTGAAGAAGTCAATGGCTGGAAGAAGGTGTGAAATGTATCATTATAGTGCATTTCAGTAGAAGGAATGAGGCACATTGTTTGTGCTTTGGCTTCTTAGTCATAGATTCAGAGCAAAGTAGGGCTGGAAAGGGCCTTCAGAGGTCATCTCGTCTAACTCCCGGCCAAAGGAAGGATCATTGCTATCTAAACCATTTTATACAAATCCACTGTCTAACCTCCTAGTAAAACTACAGTTAAACCAACCCAGGCACAACCACAAGGTACAACACCTCAACCTAGCACAGGTAAAGCAGGGGACAATGGTGGCCAATGCTGGCCAATGCCCTGCTGCTGTCAGAGGTTGACATATAAAGTGAACACATCCAAAGTTAATGTAAAAATTTCAGTGACTTCAGAAGAGCTTTATCCTTTTATACCAGAGGAAATTTAGTCCTATACATATTAAAAAAAAAATGTTTAAGGTATGGGCAGGTGAATTTCAGTTATAAATATGAATAAATCAGTACTGAGGCAAAGTAGGCTGAATAATAACCAACTCCTTGCTTTTCATGATATATCTCATTGTCATTCAGAAGCCCACTTAATTATTCAGAAACTGTGAGAAATTAGTTTATCCCTGGCCTGCTTTAAGTTATATTGAGTAGAATAAAACACTTCTGAAATGCTGTGGGGAGTCGCAGCTAATTTTGGTAGCAGCTATGAAAGAATTCAGTGTCAGCCCTTTAAAAATATGGGAAATAATATGGCTGCCTGTAGTTTTATTCATACAGCATTTAGTGGTTCCTGTAAGC